TTTCATATTATTATTTGTATGATTGTAGAATAAAATTGTAACCAAATGATGCTTTTTGTTAATATTGTTGGGACAAAAAGGTGCCAACTGCCATATGGTACCTTTTTTTGATATATTCGACAGCAAATGTTAAAAATCATACAATGCAAAAAGGGGCCAAGCGTTCATATGGTACCTTCTTGCATTTGTCGGTCATAATATTTATTAGTGCAAAAAGGAACCATTTCCTTTAATTGATTAATTATCACTTATTAGTAATATATAAGCTTTCCAACTTTTTGAGCATGTACATTCAAATATTATCTAAATATATGTGAAGTTTCTTTGCCATGTTGTTAAAACCTGATTTGATATGGAACTTCAAATCTTTAAACGCGATTTTCTCGAAAACATGAAAATGTCACTTGGTACCTTTTTGCTTTAATGGGGCGAATTATGTCCAAACAGTACCAGACGGACTGGCAGTGGTGTTAAAAGAGTGTAGTGACCTCTTTGTTTTGCCTTTTGCAATTAACATAGGTGGCATTTGCTGACCACATGCATTTACACATGCCATTGCTGTTATATTAGTTGAACGGTTGGTTGTTTTGCTGACAACTGTGCGTGTACCTTTCTCAGCAACAACTTTCACAGGACAGTGCTCGAAATTGAACCCAGTTTCGTCCGCATTCCATATTTGATGCGGTTCAAGGTTACTACTAGAGATAATTTGACCAAGATCGTCAAAGTACTTTCCAATTACCTCAGCATTAAGCATTCTTGAACGCACTGATGAAAGCTTCTCAGGGGATCTGATAACAAGTTCGGGATGCCTCTTGCGCACACCCTCCCACCAGTCCTTGCCAGCGTGAAAGTCTTTATAAGAAGACTGGAGCTTTATACGCTTACAAAGAACGTTTGTTCTAAGCAAGATCTGCTTTCGACTTAGACCTATGCCTAACTGAGAGGCAACTTTTACACTGTTTACTATTTTATCCTCTATATAAGAAGGAAGAGCTGGAGGTCGACCGTGCGTAACAGATAAAGCGTGTTTTCCAGATATTCGATCTGCTATTGTTGACTTAGGAATTGCATAAGCTTCACTAGCTTTTCTTATGCTCATTTGTCCGGACTGTACAACCTCAACTGCTTCTTGTAGAGAAGACTGGTTATACTGCATGGTTTTACCCCTTTTAGTATATACATATTTTTTGGGCATTTCTGGAATAAAAAGCATGTGATAGTGTATGCCACGAGAACATGTGTCGACACTGATCGAAATAGATTAGGAAGAACGGGTTTCCTCCACCATTAAAGCTAGAGAGCCGCAAATAGGCCTTTAGTGTGTTGGTGCAACGTTAAACCGAATAACAAGAAGAAAATTATCCATGAAATAGTTACAGCTATGATATTTTAGACAGAGGGACGGACGGACTGGAACAGGCTTTAAAGGGAATAAAAAAGCTGCTACCCATGTCGACCGCTAAACATCAATGCATTTTAACGATCAAATCTTGTTATTAATATCATAGGACTATTTCATTTCTACAACATTAAAGTATATTAACTTGATCATACTTAAACTACAGATGACAGTTGTTGGTAGTAACATTGATATACGAGGGGTGATCCAAAAATTCGTGGACAATGTGTGTATCTCCATAACGTGACGTCCTACCGAAGTGAACTCTTTGGATATTATTAATCAATGTTTTTTTTAATAAATTGACCAAATTTTAAAACACCAATTGCATTTTTAATCTATATATGACAACATAAAAACATTAAGTATCAAAATCACGGCGCAGCTTACTTTTTCTCTGTGATGTAAACGTTTTCATCTCATTTAAACACATGTAAAACCTGTGCAAACAAAGAAAATTGCGGGAAACGTTATAATAACGTTGTTTTGGTGTGTATGTCGTCATTCTGTCAGTATTTGAAGACATTTTGAAGTTGCGGTTATTTTATGCTCGTGCTTTAAAGAAAGGTGCTAAATACAGCTTTATCAAAAATGGACGTCACGGATCCAGCAAAACTTTGGACAGTTATACAGTTCTGTGTAAATCGTGGAAAGACCCTGGCCAGACAAAAACAATGATCGAAAGTGTGACAAACAAACCGTCAGTGTGTCGTTCTCTAGTTCTCAGCTTGGAGCAGAAGTACTCAGTCATTCACAATATTCGCCTGATCTGACCTCGCCTTGTTTTCTTGAGTTGAGTTGAGAGGGAAACGTTTTGACAATCTGGAGAAGTTGAGAGGAGCCACCCAATGCATACTGTCATCATTCAGCCAGGAATGGTATGCGAGTACATTTAGAGACTGGGTCCGCCGCCATGAAAAATGTGTGCGGGTTAAAGGGGAATACTTTGAAAAGTTATAAGGCAAAACGGTAACATAGATTACTTCCTATGATAGCATAACGTCGTTTGTGACGTCGTGAGCTGCGCCGCGTTTTGTCATGTCTATGTATATAAACTGGTGCAGAATCGTTAATTCTTGTACAATCTTTACAATATTTTGAGAATTTGTCGATATATGCTCACTTAATAAGATACTAGAATTTCATGTGATTTGCTTTATTACTTTTTGTTTTATGCAGCGTGTCCTCGAATTTTTGGATCACCCCTCGTATTGAGTAAGATAAAACAACGGGTATATTTTATCATTTTGTATCTTTAATATTTGAAACGTATTTTCTTTATCTTTATTTTGAAATATGTTACAATGTCTTTTTTATATTAGAACTACATCGAACTCATTTTTATTTCATCAATGATTTTTGAAAGTTGAAAATCTTCTGTTTCATTTGCATAGTAAGATGCTGTCCACACTATACTTCTGTCAGTATCAAATTTTGTGGTTTCAAAGTATTCGTGCAGTAATTTCATGGCACTCAGATCATTATCACATTTGTCTACTAAATAATTATACAGTAAAATCAGAGAAGGGTGCTCAAAAAGGTATTCATTCTCGTACATATAAAATAGGTGATTCTCCACCATTGTTTTCATCTGAAAAAGTTTTGATAAGCCTGTAATTTCTGCTGTTCCGAGTATTTGAGGAATTGAGTTTGTTCTACAAATGTTCATTCTTCCTAAAATGCAGAACAATACCATATTTAGTGAAAAATTTCGAATCTTAAAAAAGTTGGAAATGATCTGCATGCAAAGCCTCGTTTCATTTAAAAACTTGTTAACTCCTGTCCGTATTTACCCTAACTTATGTAATATCCATGGGGAAAATACGGACAGTACAAAATTGCTTATTTTCTACCTTATCGTGTTATAATATATAAAAAGAGACCCATTTACATGTCACTCTACCCCTGCGAAAACATCAAGACTAAAATGTACTAGGGGTACATGTCAAAAAATTACAAGTTTCGGAACAAATCCCCAGTTACCCCCACCACAACTTAGAACAGAAAATAGAGGAAATGACTACAAAAATTACAGAGAGTCTAATGACACTGTCCAATGACAATCAAGAAACACAAACAAGGCTATTAAGTCTTGAAGAAGATATTGAGAAGCTGAAAAAGAGTAAATACCCACAACAAACTAAGAGTGACCACACATCAAATTATATTATCCGAGAAACTTCTCCTGATCCAGAAATTGATTTTCCCCTCTTAAACCAGCAGAAGGACACATCTTACACAGAAAATCACCTGAATATGAAGATAAAACCACCAAAATTTGATGGAAAAGAAGATTTATATGAATTTATTGATTCATTCAAGATTTGCTGTGAAATTAATCAGTGGAACTACAATGCAACCGGGCTATACTTAGCAAGTTGTCTAAGTGGCAATGCAAGATCACTTTTGACTGAATTAAATGGTACAGAAAAGAAGGACTATGATACTCTCATCAAAAAGCTTACTGAAAGATATGGATGTCTAAATAAAGTAGAAGTCTTTAGAACACAATTAAGGACAAGAGTACGTAAAAATGGTGAAGAAATTTCAGAACTTGCCCGCAGTATTAAGAAGTTAAGCCATCAAGCTTACCCAGATGCCCCACCACAATGGACAGACACAATTGCAGTTGACTGTTTTATAGATGCCATGCAAACTACAGAGATGAGAATGAAATTAAGAGAAGCAAATGTAAAGACCTTATCTGAAGCCGAACAAACTGCCATACGTCTAGAAACTTTCCGTACAGCTGACCAACAAAGACATCCATCAATAACTGTAGCCGCTACTGGAAATGAAAAACCTGATACTAAACCTTTCCAAGACAATCAGGATAAACTGAAATCTATTTGTGACTCATTACAAAACTTAACCCAACAGTTTCAAAGGATGACACAGAATCAAAAGCAGAACAACTTCCCCTCCTCTTTCACAAGAAATGAACAACAAAGACAGCCAAATAATAGAGACCGGAGTAGAAGAAATCAATTTCAACATACTCCCATTGATAATCAATTTAACAGGAACTCTTCACCTTACAGTTACTCACACAACAGACAAACAGCTAATGTGTCGGGAGACCTGTAGACGAAATTAAAAAGTCAACAATTAACAGAATATGTTACACATCTTGAAAATAATTTAGAACGAATACATGAAATAGCTAGAAGATAACTTATACAGTCTGGAGTCAACATGAAAAACATCTATGATCGAGGAAAACATGTCATCTCCTACTTAATTGGTGATGCAGTGTGGTATTACAACCTTAGAAGACAAAGAAATCTCAGTCCAAAATTACAAAATCCATGGATAGGACCATACATTATCACACAGAAATATGGAGAAGTCCTTTATGAAATCAGACTAAAACCAACGACTAAAGCTTTAATTGTTCATCATGACAAGCTGAAACCTTACAAAGGTGAAAATAAACCTTCATGGTTTACTCCAACATCTTCAACACCTACATAAATGTATATTATGTAACATAATGTAAACGATGCTTTATCTTGTTGAAAATACATTTATATATATTTGATGTTTTGCTGTATTGTTGTTCAACCCTTACCTTACTGGAAAACCACTCCAGTTGGGTTTGTTTACCTTAGTTACATAGATAAATATTCTGTACAAGTTTATAAATACTTGTAATTTATACGTTTATTATAGTTATTATATTAAGTGAAATATATTTATTAAATGATTCTGGGTACTACCTCTCCAGATGGATATTTTCTATAAGACATTGTGCATAGAGGTTGCGTCTGTAAAGCGGACAATACAATTGACCAAGTTCAAGGGAAAATCTGGGGTATTTATAGGAAAAGGTCACATGACCCTTGAAACAGTAACGTGACTGCATATAATGACGTCACTGAGTACCCAGATGGGTCATGTGATCTATTTGATGACGTCACATTGTCTCCATCTTAACTCGATTAAATACAGAACATATTCTACGTCTCCATCTGGAATTCTAATCAGTACCAACTAATAATGGATGGAACACAAGGCATGGCACAAGTTTGATGAGTTATGTAGCAATAAATAAGTGATCACAAATGGGCAAACTGGCGTAAACATCAAGTATTATACATATGTTAATAAATCAGAATAAAGTTGATAACTGTCAACAAGTATTAACGTGGTTTCCGGGGTTATAAAAAGTGTCATGATGTTCGGACGAAATGAACTTCGTAACATTACCCCCATCCCGCAAAGGATTCAGACCCTGAATCGAAAGATATAAGGTAAGTATAAGTTATTAATTATATACAGAAAGTAATGGGAATTTATCATGTGTGAAGTTAACTTCGTACGAAATTTAATTAACGTTTTCAAATTACTTTTCTCATATAAGCTTTTCACATTTATACATCATGGTATAACAATAATAAACAATTCAACAATAACAAATAAAACATGTGTATGATAGATACATAGACTGTAAGTCTGATTGTCCTTGATATTTATCCTAAGTTAAATAATACACATATAAACATTAGTTTCAATATAAATTGTAATTGCATACATAGTATGAATTTATGCTTTAGGTACATAGTTATTTTTTTTACATACATAGTATGAAATTTATATGGTATAGCCATACATATAAATATTTTATCAATAAACAATTAAATTAAACAACATACTGATATAACTGAATTTGGGTGAGATTACTCTTCATGTATTAATCTTAAACACACGTTTTGATTTCAGTAATTACATTGGTTTATAGGAGCATCCTTAATGAATCAGTACTTTTGGTAAGTACCTGCATACTATCTTAATCATTAAGTAAATAAATATCAAATTTTCTAATTACTGAATTATTCTAACACAATGAATTCAAAGTTTATCAGACTGTAATCATTCATCATAAACAATGCATAGAACAATTTATATAAAATAATACATGCTAAACATTTACTCATTTATACACACTGTTACACATGTAAAAGTTAACTAAAGATAATCATTTACTCTTAATAATCACTTATTCACACAAAGATTTTTATTTTGTAGGATGTTTGGTAGAACATTTGAGACAGGGATTGTTTTTGTTGAAGATACTCTCTGGCCACAAGAGTTCCTCTAGGCATAGGTATACATGGTAGAATATTCAACAATGATTTCACATAAAATTATGGTTTTAGCATGCTAAACTTATGAATACGGAGCAATACATAATGTAGTTATACTACATATAAAAGGCTACTGAGGACCGCTACCTCTCAGCACTTGAAGGTGGAGTCGAACCACTAGGAGTCTTTCTCCTCCATCAGTATTCCACATTAATGTAGATATCCGATGGCTGGGTACCGCCACAGAACTATACAAGTCATGCCATAATAATACATTCATTAACAATCTTCTATATTATTAATACTCATACGTTAACTATACTAAAGACTCAAAAACTATCTTTATACTGTCATAATATAAATGAATCTATGTCAATGATTAATAATCTTGTACATGGCTCTTTAAAAGTAAGAGTACATCCTTCTCAAGGTAATAGACACATATATAAAATGAGCCGTTTTACATTTATTCATAACTATCATTGGACTAGATTAGCTGAGAGGAGTGAATATGCCAAATTTGAAATATTTTTAATTTCAAACGGCTGCACTAATCTCTCAGAGAATACTTTGAATGAAAGTTATGCTAACAGTCTAGAGTATATCTCAAAACATTCATTATCCAACACAGCTTAACTATTTGTAAGTTAGCTAAAATATATAATATTTAAGGTGCACCAATATAATAAGCGGTGGCTCAACGTATATTTAAAATTTGAGAAAATCTCTCATACAATAAAATATATTAATTTAATATACCTAGCCTATTTTTAAGTAAACAATTCTTTGTATTAATTTACATAATAATTTAAGTTTGAATAGAAAAAAATGTCTTTGTCTTAGTGTAATATACATGTACAAGTATATTGTTAATATTATGTTAATTTTTAATTACAGAAAGGTCAAATGTTTGGAATGGTTCTCTTCCCTCCCCAGAAATAACAGGTTAACATAGAGTGAATTGGTAAGTATTACTTAGTAATAAAGAGTGAAATTTGGATTTGACCTTTCTTTACATATACATGTATTTTTGATTACAATTTTCTAGTTTATTGCTTTATTTAATATCTTCTTCAAGTCCTTGATGAGTTCTTTAATGTTGTAGAATTTAGCGTCTAATAGGATCTCTTGTATTGTTGTTGGGTTTGATGGGAACAGTGTTGTAGGTATATGGCATTCATTTCGTAAGTAATTTAGTATAAAACGGAAGTGGCATGGATCTCTGTCTATAAAGATACAGTTCTTCTGAATATTGACGGGCGAATTTTCTTGGGTCATCTGATGAAGTATTGAGTATGGACTATTTAATAATGTTATTTTTGATGTATAAAAGATTGTCCCGCCTATGTTTAATTGAATGAATTCTTCTTGTTGTCTTTGAATCAGTTGAAGTTTTTCATAGTTGCTTTCCATTTGGAATGGGTCGTCTCTGTCTTCTTCTTCGGATTCGCAATCACTGGGTATTGGTGTTGTTCGGTAATCTGAAATTACTATTCTTGTATCGCTTATGTTAAATTGGTTGTCTATAACTTCTTTCAATATGTCACCTTCAAAATTTGTATTTGTAATTTGTTCTTTTTGTGGTTTAGATTTTCTTATTATACTGAAGTTATCTTTTTGTTTATTTCTCTGGTGTACATTTTCGTTGTTTTCTTTGTTATTTTCAGTTTTCTTTGACTTTGTTTTTGTTGTTTCTTTTTTATCTTGTTTTTGTTTGTGTTCCATTTGTTTTTCCTTCTGTTTTTCTGTGTGTTTGTCTATTGTCATACATTTATCTTCAATTGATTTTCTAACTGTCTGTTTTTCTTTATTTTGTTCATTGTTTTTGTTTAACTCCTTTCCCTTTACTTCGTCTGAGGTTTTCTTTTCACTGGTTTTATTTGTCATTGTTTTTTCTCAGTCAGTTTATGGTTTGGTTTATCTTCTTTGTTTCCTTGTTTATGGTTCTTGTTTATATTTGTTTGATCACTGTTTTTGTCCATTTTTGTTTTATTGTAGCATTTTTCTTTGGTTGCTTCTTTTTCCTTGTTTTCTTTTTCATTGTTCTTGTTTGTTTTAGTGTTACTTTCTTCACTCTTTTTGTCTGTTTCATGATTGTCTGTGTTCACTATGTCTTTGTGTTTGTTTTCAGTTATAATGTTCCTGTTTGAAGTTGTTTGTTCATTTTCTTTGGTTTGCTTTGTTGTAGCTTTTATCTTCTGTTTGTTCTACTTGTTTGTTTTCATTTTCAGTGTTATTGTTTGTTTTCTCATGTTTGTTTTCATCTGTTTTCTTTTCTGTAGGTTCCATGTGTTCAATTGGCTGTACTTCAATGTCGGTAAGTTCTCTTTCATCGTCAGAGAGTTTCAGATCGTCGAAAAGTTGAGTAGAGGTTGATGTTTGATTAGACGTTGTTTTAGGTAGAGATTGTATTTTTGGAATTTTATATACATGAGAATATTTTTTTTATCAACTATGAATAGTTTTAGAATGCGTATTATGTACGTGTGTGTCTAATAACAATTGTTATTTCTACTTTTCTTCATCAGACAGAAATTATGACTGATTCTATTACTGACCCTGTTGAAGTCACTGTTGACATAGATCATCACAATGAAGAAGACTCAGAACCAGATGTAGATGAATACCAAGATATAGAAAACTCAGATGAGAAAACTTTAGATGAACAAATCCCCAGTTTTTTGCGGGATGGGGGTAACTGGGGATTTGTTCATCTAAAGTTTTCTCATCTGAGTTTTCTATATCTTGGTATTCATCTACATCTGGTTCTGAGTCTTCTTCATTGTGATGATCTATGTCAACAATGACTTCAACAGGGTCAGTGTTAGAATCAGTCATAATTTCTTTCTGATGAAGAAAAGTAGAAATAACAATTGTTATTAGACACACACGCACATAATACGCATTCTAAAACTATTCATAGTTGATAAAAAAAAATATTCTCATGTATATAAAATGATACATCCACATATTCATACATTTCACATATATACATAAAATGTTAAATATTTTGTTTTTCAGGCGATAGCAGGAGGGTCAACAGTACTGTAGATTCCGGATATGGTTGAATTGGTCAATATTTGATGTAGGTAGTCACATCTCTTGAGATCTAAAGGATAGATGGAGCTCAATCCATCCCGTAGAGCTGAAGATAATCCAGTCAAGATTGTGGAGCTCATACATTCCTGGCTGGATGGTCAATTGTAATGTCCTTCTTGTTTCATATGTACATTGAAATAAATTGGTTTGACATCTCTTGTTGTTCTTCTTATATCTGCATAATATCCATCATAAAGGTTCTACTTGGATGGAGTATCTGGATACCGATGGAGACATCTGGAGAAATCTGGAGACATATGGGTTGATAGTTATTTAAAGTCATCTTGGATGGTAGTTTTCCGCAGTTTGTGGTTGTATATCTACAGTCACTGTTATCCGTACTTCTGACACCAGTTGTTACGTTCCCGGACCGGGGAGAGCCTGCTAGTCCCCGGGTAACAATTTATACTTCTCAGGATGTAGGCCTCTATAGCGGGTAGATCACTATAGCTTCACTTCTATAGGTATTCAATAGTCAGGGTATGTTGTATCAGGAGAAAGCCAGTAGTTAGTTTAAAATCTCATTTATTCATCATCAACATCATTCATTCATGTATACACAGTCAACAGTAATATAAATAATACATGTAGTCAAAATGGGTACATATCCGGAAACCACTCCAGTTGGGTTTATTTACCTTAGTTACATAGATAAATATTCTGTACAAGTTTATAAATACTTGTAATTTATACGTGTATTATAGTTATTTTAATAAGTGAAATATATTTATTAAATGATTCTGGGTACTACCTCTCCAGATGGATATTTTCTATAAGACATTGTGTATAGAGGTTGCGTCTGTAAAGCGGACAATACAATTGACAAAGTTCAAGGGAAAATCTGGGGTATTTATAGGAAAAGGTCACATGACCCTTGTAACAGTAACGTGACTTCATATAATGACGTCACTTTGTACCCAGATGGGTCATGTGATCTATTTGATGACGTCACATTGTCTCCATCTTAACTCGATTAAATTCAGAACATATTCTACGTCTCCATCTGGAATTCTAATCAGTACCAACTAATAATGGATAAAACACAAGGCATGGCACAAGTTTGATGAGTTATGTAGCAATAAATAAGTTATTACAAATGGTCAAACTGGCGTAAACATTAAGTATTATACATATCTTAATAAATCAGAATGAATATGATAACTGTCAACAAATATTAACGTGGTTTCCGGGGTTATAAAAAGTGTCATGATGTTCGGACGAAATGAACTTCGTAACAATATATAAAAAGAGACCCATTTACATGTCACTCTACCCCTGCGAAAACATCAAGACTAAAATGTACTAGGGGTACATGTCAAAAAATTACAAGTTTCGGGAAATTTACCGGCGTTTGAATTTTCCCGCTTCCAAACTTAGACTTGCGCACACAAAGGAAGTAGACACCTATACACTTTAGGCATGCGCATGATGACGATATGTTGCAATGACGTATTTCCGCTTTTATGAAGAGTCATAATAAAACCCAAAGATTCCTTGACTAAACAAAGAGAGAGTATATCGTAAGTGATACGAAAGTTACGAAGGAGAAAAGAACAAATGTCCGCATTTACCCATATGTCCGTATTTTAACGGATTTCCCCTACTGATATGAAAAGCCTGTCGTCTGCTAGTCTGAAAGTGTTTATCGGTGTATTGCTGAATAGAACTTGTTTGTGTCACCTTTCACTCAATTAATGAAGTATGTATTGTAATTTTTACCTAATTTGACAACAAATATTTAAATTGATTGGTTTGATTGGAATGCGATTAAAGTACAGTTTAAATCAACAATAAACAACAAACAAATGGATTAATTATTTGTCAAAAATTTGATGTCCAGGCTGCAATATAACAGTGTTAAAATTTATTTCATTTTCATAACTTATATAGCTTACAAACTAAAAAAAGTTATATTTTGTCATGTCTTTTTAGTCCCCTACCGGTTTAACCGGAGGGGACTTTAGGTTTACCCTCCGTCCGTCTGTCCGTCTGTCTGTCTGTCTGTCCGTCAGTCTGTCAGTCCGTCAGTCCGTCCGTCCACAAAACTGGATCCCGCGATAACGCAAAAAGTACTGAAAATATTTTTATGAAACTTGATATATGGATAGATGGCAGTATGGAGATTATGCACGTCTTTTTTTTTTCTTCCTATGTTGAAAATTCTGGTTGCTATGGCAACAAATAGTCTGAAAATATGGCAAATTTAACACATAAACTGGATCCAGTGATAACTCAAAAAGTACTGAAAATATTTTTATGAAACTTGAAATATGGGTAGATGGCAGTCTGGAGATTATGCACATCTTTTTAGCTCACCTGTCACAAAGTGACAGGGTGAGCTTTTGTGATCGCTTTTCGTCCGGCGTCCGTCCGTCCGTCGTCCGTCCGTCGTCCGTCCGTAAACTTTTGCTTTAAATGACATCTCCTCATAAACCACTGAGCCAATTTCATCCAAACTTCACAGGAATGTTCCTTTGGTGGTCACCTTTAAAAATTGTTCAAAGAATTTAATTCCATGCAGAACTCTGGTTGCCATGGCAACCGAAAGAAAAATCTTTAAATATCTTCTTTTAAACAACCCTAAGAGCTAGAGCTTAGATATTTGGCATGAAACATCTTCTAATGAGTGTCTACCAAGTTTGTTCAAATAAAAGCCCTGGGGTCAAAATTGGCCCCGCCCCGGGGGGTCATTGATTTTCCCTATATGCATATAGTAAAAACTTAAAAAATCTTCTTTTAAAGAACTGTAAGAGCTAGAGCTAAGATATTTGGCATGGAACATCTTCTAGTGAGTGTCTACCAAGTTTGTTCAAATAAAAGCCCTGGGGTCAAAATTGGCCCCGCCCCAGGGGGTCATTGATTTTCCCTATATGCATAAAGTAAAAACTTAAAAAATCTTCTTTTAAAGAACCCAAAGAGCTAGAGCTTAGATATTTGGCATGAAACATCTTCTAGTGAATGTCTACCAAGTTTGTTCAAATAAAAGCCCTGGGGTCAAAATTGGCCCCGCCCTGGGGGGTAATTGATTTTCCCTATATGCATATAGTAAAAACTTAAAAAATCTTCTTTTAAAGAACCATAAGAGCTAGAGCTTAGATATTTGGCATAAAACATCTTCTAGTAAATGTCTACCAAGTTTGTTCGAATAAAAGCCCTGGGGTGAAAATTGGCCCCGCCCCAGGGGGTCATTGATTTTCCCAATATGCATATAGTAAAAACTTAAAAAATCTTCTTTTAAAGAACTGTAAGAGCTAGAGCTTAGATATTTGGCATGAAACATCTTTTAGTGAATGTCTACCAAGTTTGTTCAAATAAAAGCCCTGGGGTCCAAATTGGCTCCGCCCCAGGGGGTCATTGATTTTCCCTATATGCATAAAGTAAAAACTTAAAAAATCTTCTTTTAAAGAACCCAAAGAGCTAGAGCTGAGATATTTGGCATGAAACATCTTCTAGTGAATGTCTACCAAGTTTGTTCAAATAAAAGCCCTGGGGTCAAAATTGGCCCCGCCCGGGGGTCATTGATTTTCCCTATATGCATATAGTAAAAACTTAAAAAATCTTCTTTTAAAAAGCCCAATGAGCTAGAGCTGAGATGTTTAGCATGAAACATCTTTCTAGTGAATGTCTACCAAGTTTGTTCAAATAAAAGCCCTGGGGTCAAAATTGGCCCCGCCCCAGGGGGTCATTAATTTTCTTATATGCATATAGTAAAAACTTATAAATCTTCTTTTAAAGAACCCAAAGAGCTAGAGCTAAGATATTTAGCATGAGACATGTTCTACTGGGTGTCTACCAAGTATGTTCAAATAAAAGCCCTGGGGTCAAAACTGGCCCCGCCCCGGGGGTCATTGATTTTCCTTATATACATAGCAAAAACTTAAAAATCTTCTTTGAAAAAACCCAAATAACTAGAGTTTAGATATTAAGCATGAAACATCTTTAAGTAAATATCTACAAAGTTTGTTCAAATAAAAGCCCAGGGGTCAAAACTGGCCCTGCCCGAGGGGTGTCATTGTTTTTAACTATATGTGTATAGTAAAAACTTAAAAAATCTTCTTTTAAAAAACCCAATGAGCTAGAACTTGGATGTTTTTAAGTCTGTTCAAATAAACAAATAAAAGCCCTTGGGTAAAAATTGGGCCGGGGAGGGGGGGGGGGCTATATACAGGTGAGCGACCTCAGGGCCATCATGGCCCTCTTGTTTTTTTCTTCCTATGTTGAAAATTCTGGTTGCTATGGCAACAAATAGCCTGAATTTCAAGATTTCTGATTTAAATTTTTCAGCTTTTTCATTATATGTTCTTTATTTCTTAAGGTGTTTACTTCAAACTTTAAATATAAGTTTCTGGTCATCAACCACATCATATGTGACAAGGTTTATAACTCTAGCACAAAAAATATCAGTATTACCTCCCTTGAACTTAGATTTTTTAGGGGAAAAAATGTTGTCATTTTTAAATAACTTCTTTATTTCCTAATGTATCTACTTCAAACTTCATATATATGTTTCTTATTATCACTCGACATTTTTGAGAAGGTTAAATACTCTAGCAAGACTATTTCCAGAATTATGTCCCCCTTGAACTTAGATTTTTTTCGAGAAACTGGTATTTTCACTCCAACTTCTTCATTCCTTATAGGATTTACTTTAAAATCCCACATCGTAATAATATGACAAGGTTGTATAAACATAATTTCCTTACTAAGCATGGAAACTTAACACATTACTGTGATATAGACAAACTTATTTTATTATGTTTTGTGGTTGATATTTTCAAATACAGACTTCATCCTCAAATTCATTATAAATGGCAATACACAGGAGTGTATGACAATTAAAGAACTTTTTGAGGGACCGGTAGGGGACTACTGTATTGCCCGCAATACTATCAAATGCTTGTTGTATATACTTTATAATAAATTGTTTGCAAACGTGTGTCACCAAAACATTGCTTGTATTGTTGTTTTTTTCCTTAATTTTCTTCATATATATTGCAAAATATATAAAATCTAAATCGGGATAGGTGTAGTATCGTTTCCATGGTGTCTTATATATACTAAAGCTAATCTTTAGTTTATTGATTAATTGATGGCTAATTTCATAAAATAATATATAATCTGGTCAGAAATGTCCAAAACAATGGTCCGAAGTATA